TGTTATTTTAGTTGATGGAGCATTTTCTGAGCTTGGTGGCTGACTTATTTAGTATTGGTTGCGAAGTTAGGCCAATGTGCAACGGTGTTTTGGGTTTTGTTTCTCAAATTCTCTCGAGGGCTTATGTTCTTGAGCACTGCTCTGATCGTTCAAATGCCCTTTCGCTCGTAATTTTGCAGTTGACAAAGGTGTGCTTAGAAGATGGCTTTGTTTTGAATATTCTGGTCTTGCTTTGTTTCCGGTTTTTTTGCATTTATAGATCATGAATTCCCCGTGAACATCACCATTCCAGACCAAGCGTGCGCTCAAATTTCTACGTTCCTTGCTTAGATGGAATCGTGACAGCCAGACCTCGTATACGCCAGGTGAAGTGGTAAGTTGCGCAATTACCTTATATGGATTTCTCTTTTCTATTGGATTCTTTAGGACTATCCTTTCTTGCCTCTGAGAAGTAGAATAATATTAATGCTCCTCCAAGAAAATTATCTAGTTTTGGGTAGTACGATCGCCTTCAAATGCATTACGTGTTCTTAGCAGCGCTGCTATTGAAGGGCTGTGTGGAAACATGTGAGTGTTTGATTTTCATAAACAGCTTTGTTATGTCATCTGTGTGTATTCCTGAGATTGAAAACGCGATCAGTTAGTTTCACTAGGTAGTTTTTAGGCACCGATGTTGCTGGTAACCACTCTTTGGCTTGAAACTTCCCTTTCAGCAGTGGATTCACTACAAATAGCTACTCAGATCATTGGAAGTTGACGAGATGTTTCTGCAATACTGATTTGTGTCCACTTTTGAGAATGTTATTCCGTTTTTCTTCCATTGTCACTTACATGATTTAATCTCGTTCATCTGTTTTTTGATATGGGTTATTGGTTTTTTGTTGGTTTATGGTTTGACACATGTAAATTTTCCAACATTCTTCCATTTAAACAGAGGCGTTGTACCCACACCTTATTTGATACGTGGTTAGCCGTGTAATGTGGCATAATTTAGCATCTCAGAGTAGTACGTTCATGATGTCGAGTTGTGAGTTGGACAATTTTCTCGTGACGTTGAATGCTGTCCTTCTGACTAAGAGAGGAGCCACAATTTCAGAGATTTTGAAGGGCCTGAAGTAGGAATTACAATCCTAATTTCACCTGCAGGCTAAGTCTGTCAAAATTTTAGAGAACTGAGTGGAATGGATGGCAATGTCCAGCAATATGGCTTCCCCAGCCTTGAGACGCTCTTAAAATCGTATCCTGATACCTTCCGACTCGAAGTGCGTTTTTATGTTGAATTGATGACGTTAAAATTTGGTTTTATGGAAGGGCATTGGGTAGCTTTTTTATTTTCCATTATGAATTATTATATTAAGGGTAAGAAGTGGTATGGAAAAGTGACGAAAGAGAACGAAGATCTTGTTCGATCTATGGCCACTGAAAAGCCGAGAAAAAGAGGTTAGGATTTGTCGTATGGAACAGGAAGAGATGTTTCGTAATGTAGTGGTTGTTCCTCTTTTAAAATTTCTATTCTCCTAATCTTCAACTAGTTTGTTTCGTTCGTTCTATTCTATTCATTTCTTTAAATTCGTATTGTTTTAGGGAACAACAGGAGGAAAACGTTTAACAGTCAAGGATTTCGTGCTGAGTCTTCAGTATCGCGGAAGTTGGTTTTTTCCTCGTGTTATATCTATACGTTTTATTCATTTATCTGCCAATTATTAATTGACATGGTGTCACACGGACCACTTTATGGGAGTTCTACCACTTCTTGCATTCAATTTGTCTTCACACATCCAGCAAATGGGATGGCCCTCGAGTATTTTTTCCGCATGGGTTCAGCCGTTGGTTGAGTATTCTTCATCCTCACGAATTTCGTTGAATGCTGGTCGAGTGGATTCTCCTTGAAATCCTGAGATAGTTCTGCAAGCGCGTTCCCACTTGGGTCGGAGGCCCTACCCCAGATAAGATGAGTACTAAGATTTTGCGTTGCATAGATAAAAACAAGTATGTTGTGGCGATTTAAAGAAGGACTCTTTGAGTACGTCGACTCCTAATGTTCTTTTTTGGTGGCACTTTGGGTAGTGTGGCAGAAAAATTAAGCTTCTCCTCCCTGTTTTGTTCCGGATCCGTTAAGCCGCCTTAATTGACACGTTTTTGAGTTCCCAATTTTCTATTTTGCATTATAGTGCTTGTCATCTAGATATTCGTGGTAAAATTTGCATATCATGATTCTGTACAAAAGTTACTAGGTCTTTCCGAAATTCATATCCGATTTGTAGCGTCGTTTTTCCTGTATATGTCTTAGAATTAGTATTTATTTCAAATCCTTTTCTGTTACGTGTCTTTGAAGAGCTCATTATGTGCAATTTCGCTCCGTTTAATTGGGTCATAATATATTAGTACATGTATAATTCGACCACAGGGCGGAGTCGTCGTTTCGAAGTTTCTTCAGTGGCTCTTTTGCGCAACTTAAAGCGATCCGTTCCTCGGGCATGTTGTGACATACGACGAGAAATTTATGTCCTCCGGCAAGAGGCGGCGTTCGGCTCAGTAGTTAAACCACAATGAATCTTCGCAGAACTAATTGTACCAATGAAGGTCGTGGTCACCGTTTGATGGTTTGCTTGTGGTTTAGTCCACCACTGCTACTCGAATCCGAGTGACGTGATTACCAAAGATGTACGTCCATCAATTTGGCGAAATCAACTAAGAACTTTAACGGGTTTTCTTGCGGCCAAAAGAAATCGACCAATCTGCGTTAACACACTGCCACACGTCGTGCAACCGACGCTGCGACGGTCGAACGATCGGGACTACGAACCTCAGTCTCATGCACAATGCTCTCCAGGCCAGTGGCCTACAAACTGTCACTTCTTCATTCATCTCAACAGCTTTCTGAAAAGGAAATGCTTCATAAATCAAGCTGAGACGGAAACTGCTTTAACGACCCAAACGCGGGTAAGTGCCCATAATTTTAAGCAGTCGGAATAAATAAACGTGTTTTTCATTGGTAAAACTGTGTAAATTGGAATGGTTTTTATTCCGATTTATTCCGATCGATGAAGTTTATTCGGAGCTATGTTGAGCTGGTTGAAATCGGACGTTAATTTCGGAAACACCTAGTACCAATGTCGGTTGTGAATGTTCCCCCTATACTTTCACTGCTGTCATAGCATCTCGTCTTCCATCCATGAAAATGTGTTCGATTTCCACATGAGTTGTGCCGTTAAGGGTTTCGGCTTTCCGTTGGCGATTTGTTGTCTTTGCGAAAAATGAATTTCCATGGAAGCGACGTGCTGTGGGCAGGAGTTTAGCAAGTCGGCTACTATTCTCACTTCGTCCTTATTCCCAACCTTCTTACCCTGTATTAATTTTCGTTGGCCATTCCTAATCTGGTGTCGAAATCTCCAGCAACAAATTTGTGGAAGTATGTCCTGTCGCGGATTTCTTCATCCAACAGGCTGCTGAACGCGTCCAATTTACTGTACATTATCAGCTGTACAAGTTCGTGAATAATATTTAACGTACTGACAGTTCATCACCTCAGCTAGTTGCCGGCCGTTATGAATTTGAGTGAGATTTGCGACTAACTGAGCTAAGTTTACGAAGAGAACTCCTTAGCTTCGCAAACCCTGCTGTGGAATAAACACCGCTGTACAACGTAACCCCGCCCAAAAACACCTTCACTACCAGACATGATGGGTTGGGAAACCATTGCAAGGGGTTTCTAATTCAAGGGACTAAAATGGATTGAAGTCGCCAAAATCTTGCATAGATCGCATAAAATGTTTTGAACATCCTTCATATTGTGCTGTCAGAAGTACGTATTCTTTTACTTGGACACTGATTCGAACTCTATTAGTTTGTTTTCGTTATTTCTTGTGGTTTCCTTCTTTTCTCAATTTATTGTTGGACACACAATGTGATTCGCGACAGTAAAAGTTAAGTGTCCTACACTTTACACTTCAATTCTTCCACAATTCCAATGTTTAGATAGTTTCAGTGCTTCTAATAGAGGACCTAACCGCGTAAACTCTGATTTCGAAAAGAAATGTAGAATTCAAGAAAACAGGCAGCCCTTAGAGGCTGAGAGCAAGTGTGGCGATTATAAGAAGTCGGACGAGGTTGAGTCTGGGTGAGTACTTTTACCACACCAGATAAGTTTCAANTTTTTTTAAGAAGTGTTATCGTTTTCCACTTTCTTTTTCGAAATTTCTCTTTTTGATTTTTCTGTTTAGTAAAAAGTCGTCCAGTTATGCCTCAAAGAAACCTCCGTCGACAAACCGCGTAGCTGCGTTTTCACATTTTGATAGGAGTAAGCCTAATCTTAGTAAACCAGAAGGGAAGTTTTTCTTATAAATTTAGCAAAATGGTCTGTCTGTCATTAACCAGATTTCCAACAGAGAAGTGGCAGCTGCAAAATATAAACAATAAATTGGTGAACACCTCATGTGACGGTGTTTGGGACTCTGCTTGTTACTTTGCTGTTATATTCGAAATATGATTCTTCAAACTGTAAAGTGGAAGAAAATTACATCGTCTTCGTTAAAAAATCACAGTCTTATCTTGGATAAATATGTGCACCTTCATCCTATAAGCAAAATGTGTGCACCCTAGTCGTTTTTATGGCAACTGATAACATTCACTAAGAGCTGAGATGTTGCGATTTAAAATTTGAAGTGGCCACTATTTTCGAATCGTCCCACTCTTGTGGTGGTCTCGTCATAGCGTACGTGGTGAGGTTTTGTGATGACGACTATTTTAGCTTCGGTGCCAGTACACATTGAACAGAAAGAATAGTTAGTTTCTTGAATAATCCACGATAACGACACCGTGTCGTCGGCTCCTTACTGCTGATTGGCAGAATATGATTACATCACAGTGCACAGTTGTTTTCTGTGTTTCTGAATCAAACCCAAACTTCTTGGTTGTCATTTTCCCCATTTTCTCTCATCGCTTTATCAATGATGGTTCTCGTATGGAATCGGAGAATATAAGAAATGTATGAAAATGCCAGAATATACATGTGTTGTGAAATCAACCACCAAAAGTTAACAGAACGAGTTTTTATTCGTCGTCATACCTAAAAGCTAAGAACGTTCCAAAGGGTTCCAGAAATTACAATTATTATTATTATTATTTTTATAATTACTTAATATTATTGTTAATTGTTATTGAATTATTAGTTATTACACGTATGACCTTGGAGGGAAGTGGCGTAAAAATAACGCAGTCGTTTCAAACGCCCTACACTAACACGTGGGTTCGGTCTCGCAACCAAGACTCATCAAGAATTTCATGCCTCCGGGGCCGGCAAATTGCAACGAGACCCCTCTAGGAGGATAGCAGCAGTCGCTCCATGCGTAAGTGGGCCACCGCGAGTCATTGCATAGATGAAATATGCATTCATCAACTTCTAACGATGCTTGATAAAGTCGAATGCATGGCCTATCCCTGAACCACTGATCAAGGTCGAGAGCTTTCTCCTTTTTTGCCCATTTATAACTACTCGACGTCACATGTACCACACTTCGTGGATCCCACCACTTCTTCCAATCTATTCGTCTTGCATGTGCATTCGGCTGTTGCTTGAGGATTTTTTCGTTCGTCACGACTGTCGCTGTTCGCAACGATAATTTCTGCGATAGTCGCGCTCTAGGACTTTCTTTCGTTTAATATAAAGTTCAGCATCTCCCAGGCTATTCCGGCACCACTTCGTCGACCCCGAAGGCATGAGAGGCTTGATTGGCTGAAAGCATCTTTAACTAGCGTTTGGATATGTTTTGAAAAATATGTGAAATAATAGAGGACGTGCTTATGAAATTAAAACGTAGATATAGTTTTAGAAAGTGAGGTAAAGGAAATCGAATTATAGAACTAATGTACAACAGAAGATAAGAAGCTAGTACATCTCGGAGCGATTTGAAAAGGATAAGTTAGATATGCCTGATATTGTGAGCGATAGTAAATTAAACGCCGTAAACCGTGGCCTCCGATGAAAATTAACCTTTCCTTCGAGTGCGTTTTCCTTATTTTGGGTTCCAATAACGTTTATTTCACTTTCAGGTCCGTATTTCATGGCTCCGTCCGGATTCGAAAATCAGCGTCCATTCCATCCAAAGAGGGATAGATATACATTCGAGAGAAGGGTTCATCTTGTGTTTAAAACCTATTTCGTTTCCATCATTAAACTGGATGAGTTTCATTTTATGTAGATAAAACCCAAGTGCTGTCGAAATATGGCATCGGGTCGCAATGTTGCTCCGTTGTGTTCACCTGGTCTTAATATTAATGTCGATCAAAACCAGCTAAGTCGCCGTTTCTCTCCAACTTCGGTGGGTAGTTTTTCAATCTAATTCAGTTTCTGAATCGAAATATGTGGTTTATTTCGCTTCGGAAAACCTGTAATTAACGGATTTGGAGATTTCTATAACCGTATAGCGTTTTACACTTTGCTAACACCTCATTTCGGCTTTTCCCATGTAAATCACATAGTCATGGTTTACAAGAAACGAGTACGACCGAACTACTCATCCGTTGAGGTGCCATTCGCTGCTGGTGCTCGTTTAAAGGGAAGAGTTTGTCAGGTTGTTAAATGGTGGCAGAGGTGTTAAGTGGATGTCCTACCCGATTCGCACGGGTTGGCTCTTCACATTGCTGAGTACCTGAGAGCTGCGATCTGTTTAAGGGCCAAATACATAAGTTCGCAGTGTTTCTTAGTAACATTAGTGCTGAACGCTGACTGTCAGGTTGTTGAAAAACAAATGGATCGATAAGACCATCTGTGCAGTTTTCATCTTTTCGGATAACTGCTATTATTTATGAAAAGACTAGCCGGAGGCAAACTACTAGCCTTATACTCCGTAATTCATTTTCGGTCTCCACTACCGTGTAATGAATAGGTGGCAGGGTTCACCGTCCTGTCTATCTTCTTAGATATTTCAGATACACGATATNCTTTCGAATTTTTCTTGATGGCTATTTCTTCGGGCGATAACCGAGCGGCATGGTATGCATAAGAAAAATGGCTTGATGACAAATTCGCAACTTGTTGTGGTGGTCAAAAAGTTGTCGAACTCATTCTCGTTAGGTGGTCGTAGTGAGGATTGGGAATTCATCTCTAACATGTAGTGTGAATTTGTCTCGTCCAATATTTGTTGTTAGAAAGTGTAAAACTGGTTTTAATCTGGTCTCATGGAAATTCTTAATAGCGCTAGGAGACCCAGCAGTGATGTGAATTTCTTCACAGAAGTAGTCTCTGGCAAAAGTGTATCTCGGTGGTCTTCTTGTTTGGCTTAGTTTGATCATCTGTACTACGGTGTTATATAAGAGACATGGTTCCAGCTTACTGATATTCGTACAGAATCGGATTACAATCGCCAATTCTTACTTAATAGCATTTTCTTTTTGTTAAAAATTGCTTTGATGGTGAGTGATACTCGCTTGGTTATCGGGGCCATTGGCCCTACATTGACGGTCAAAATAAGCAAATCTGCCGAAAAAGATTTGTAGTGAAATGCACACTTAAAACTCATACTCTTTGATTTGGTTTTAAAATGTATTGGTTTTAGAATGAAAATCATATGCATAGTGAAGAGAACGACACAAGCGATTGGTCAAAAGAAATGAGGAGTGGTTTGTTTCCTTGCTTGTTTTTGTTCAGTCTAATTGGCTCATTTGTCTTGTATTCATTGTTATAGGAATCTCAAATACATCAGGGTGATTCTACATTGAAAAATCCAGCATGTGGGGTGCGTAAAAATAGCGCAGTATTTGCAGGCCCCGTAGTAATGGGCCGCGTGTAATGCAGTGGTTAAAGGCGTCTTGCAATATAAATGGGATCGATCCCCTCACCCGAGGTTCACCAAGTCTTCCAACTCTCTGGACTATGCAGATTGGTACCAGACTTGTCTGGGAGAATAATAGCAGTGGTTCCATATATAGGCTACCGCGAGTCATTTCAAAGGACAAATTTGCAATCAGTCACCTCTGATGATGCTTAATGAAGTCGTTTGGATGGCCTATCCCGCAACGCCGAGAGTTTTCTCCTTTTTTACGCTCTTATTACGTGACTCGACGTCATATGTGCGACACTTTGTGGATCTCACCAATTCTTCCATGCAAATCGTTTTGCATGTGCATTCGGCTGTTGCTTCAAGATTTTTCCCTTCGCCACGATTGTCGTTGATTGCTGGTCGGGTCGATTCTCATTGGAATCCTGAGGGAGTCGATTTGGGGCGTTCCATCGTGGAATATAGAGTTCAGCGTTTCCTAGATTACTCTGGTACCACTTTGCCGACCCGAAGGCTTGAGAGGCTTGATTGGCTGGAAGCATAATCTAACTACCGTTTGGATATGGATCGGAAAATAGGTGAACTAATAAAGGAGATGCGTTCGAAATCAAAACGTAGATTTTGTTTTAGAAAGGGAGGTAAAGAAAATCGAATTATAGAACTGAAGTGCACCAAAAGAATAGAAGTTAGTAGATGTCGGCGAGATTTGAAAGGAATAAGTTAGCTATGCCTCATGTTGTGAGCGGTAGTCGATTAAACGCCTTAAATCGTGGCCGCCGATGAAAATTAAGCTTTCTTACGAGTACGTTAAGCTTATTTTAGGTTCTAATGGCGTTCATTTATTCTTTCAGTCTTAAACTCAATTGCTCCTTCTGGTTTCAAGAATCAACATGCGTCATTCACAGCCAGAGGTGGATATACACTCAAGAGAAAGGTTCACTTTGTATTTGAAGTCTATTTCTTTTCAATTAATAAATTTCATGAGTTTCATTTTATACAGATGAAACACAAGTTCTTTTGCAATGTCTCGTCGGGTGGCAACGTTGCTCGGTTATATCCATCTGGTCGTAATGTTAATGACAATCAAAACCAACCGCGTCATTGTTCGGTTCCAACTTCGGTGGGTAGTTTTCAATAAAATTCAGTTTCTAAATCGAAATATGTGGTTCATTTCGCTTCGGGAAACCTGTAATTAGCGGAATTGGAGATTTCTATAACCGTATAGCGTTTTACGCTTTGCTAGCACCTCGCCCACATGGAGATTTTTAATAATATGGAAAACACCGGGACGTGAAGCCGTAAAGTCTGGGATGAGTGCAACAGATGAAATAGTTCCTCACTTGGGCGAACTTGCGTTCGCAATGCTTGGCCTTATTAACATTAATGCTGAATACTGACTGTCAGATTGTTGTTGAAAAACAAATGGATCGATAAGACCATCTGTGCAGTTTTATCTTCTCGGACAACTGCTATTATTTATGAAAAGACTAGCCGAAGACTGTCGGTTTTGCGGTAACGCTAGTTGTGCTGTATCCTGCTAGAGATGCTCAAGTGAGGAACTGTTTCATCTGTTGCACTCATCCCAGTCGTTACGGCTTCAGGTCTCGGTGTTTTCCATATTATTAAAAATCTCCTGGGCAATATGCGTTTTACGTTTTCGTTTGTTAGAAATCGAGGTTTCTGCATTAGCCGACAGGCAATTTTATCAGCATCGGATAAGAACTATCCAGTCGCTTGAATTTGAGTGTCAAGAAATCAAGCAGCGTAGCATTCACAAAGTAGATTGAGCATTATTGAATAAGGATCGAAAAAACACAAATGTGGAAATGCCGCTTCGTTTTCCGGCAAACTACTAGCCTTATACTCCGTAATTCATTTTCGGTCTCCACTACCGTGTAATGAATAGGTGGCAGGGTTCACCGTCCTGTCTATCTTCTTAGATATTTCAGATACACGATATGCTTTCGAATTTTTCTTGATGGCTA